GAAGTGCCAGTTTCATCGCTCAGCCACAGTGCAAGTGTAAGGAAATAGAAAACACTGATTTATTTCTTTTGTTAAAGTAGGAATGTCCTGCCTGCTTTGCTCCAAGTCCTTTATCTCAACACACTGACATCAAAATGCTGCTTCTGTAACTGCATTTCCCAGTTAAATAAGCTGCTCTGTCTCTATCTCTCTTTTTTTCTTTCTAAATGCCCCCGGCAGGTGCTGCAGCTGCGATTTTGCCACCACCAACATGAACAGTTTAAAGAGCCACATGAGGAGGCACCCTCAGGAGCACCAGGCCGTGCAGCTGCTGGAGCAGTACAGGTGAGAAACTTCAAACACGCTCCCACCGCAGGGAGCGATGATAACAATGACCGCTGCACTTCTGAGGTGAGAAGGAAGAGCTGTGTGTGTCCAGAAGAAGCGGCGGGCTGCGTTACGAACACGTGTTCTAATCGAATTCCCTCCAAACTCCAGTCTGTAGTTTCAACCAGTGTCGAGGCAAAATTCACAGAGACAAAGACGGCAGTCTGTAGGTGGGTGAAAACAGTGCAGTCGATAAAACATAAAATTTATGCAGCTGGATGCATAAATTCAGTTTCCTTTATTCAGTTTTTAGCGATCAGCCCGAAAATCCAGTCTGTGGTCAAGAGGACTGATGCTCCTTATCACCAATCGTTGTCCAGCTCATCTTATCGGTCTGCCCAGAGTTTCACTGGTGAAATCGTCTTAAATTTAGTTTGGCTCCGTTTAAAATGTGTCATCGCCCACATTCAGCCCTTTCAGCCTTTATTTTTAAATATGTTAGTAGGATGAGATTAATCAGTTGACTCCAGCAGGAAACCCTAAAGAAGCCCGCCGGTATAGAAAATCAAGTTGAACGTTTTGTGTCCTTTGCACGTTAATAAACACATTCAGACTTTTACACTAGTGTTGATTTTGAATCAGCATTGTGTTTACTTGGGAACATATGACCTTAGATTTTCTTTAAAGTGTTATTTGAAAGGTCTGTAGGTTACCTGTGTGGGTCAGAACCTGTTTGTGACCACGTGCGTGCACTCTCAGTCCGGAGATTTAAGAAGTGGGCTTCTGATTGCAAGTTTAGTGGATGGCGGGTGGAGAAAGTGAATGGCAGTCAACACTCGACTCTCCTTAAAATGTTAAATCCTCAACCCCGAGCGAGACTCTGATTGCTGATTTCCACTTCACTGAGCACTTGTCCTCGGTACCTGCGAGGCTTCAACGCTCGTTTCCATACATTCAAAATGGCACAGACGCTGCCTTCTTTCTCTTTAGCGCAGCACTTTCATAACGAGGAGGGACTTGAGGGAGACGGACTGCTTTAAAAGTAAAGTAGCAGAGGATGAGATATCTTGACTTTTCTGGTGACTTTCACACCTTTTGTTTGCTCTGAAGCGAGGCGTCCCAGCGAGAACGCTAGACATAACATGCTGCGACTGCTGGTGCTCCTTACTTAGAGTGTCCTTTTTGCAAATACTCAATTAAAACTAACAAGACACAGTCTGAATTTTCAGTTTCCGATTTATAATAACAATAATTTGTATAGCAGGGTAACCGAGTGCTTCCCAGTAACACAGAATAAAAGAACAAAGTGGGAGAAATTACCAAAGAAATTTACATATTTGTTATAAATGACTGAAGTGCAGCATCAAAATAAGATAATGTGATTCCACACTTAAAATTAATGTTAAAATAAAAAAATCTATACTAAAAATGACCAAAAATGGAGG